TGGCTCCAGTCCTAAAACAATATCCACTTCTCCACCTTTTCATCTGCCTTTTAACTTGTGTGCTTCTTTAAGAGATGAAGAGGAGTGATTAAGCAGTACTATCAACACAGTCTTTGGATCTTGTACTGGTGAACATTTTAAAATTGTAGGTCTTTTGATAGGAACATAATTTTCTGCATTATACATTTACCTGACACCAAACATAGCACTGTTACTCAGTGGGGAACTGACAAGTCGAAGTCATCTTTCCAGTCAAAACTGGAAATAAGTCGGTTACGGGCTTACAGTAGGTGTAGGAATGGGATGGGGAACATCCCTGGGGATACCCAGAAACTGCAGCTACAGGAAAATCAGCCTGCTGGTTTAAGAACCAGTTATTTTATTATTTTTTAAAGATTTTATTTATTTTTAGAGAGAGGGGAAGGGAAGGAGAAAGAGAGGGAAAGAAACATGTGTGGTTGCCTTGTATGCCCCCTACTAGGGACCTGTCCCCCAACCCAGGCACGTGCCCTGAGGGGGAGTCCAACTGGAGACCCTTTGGTTTGCAGTCCACTGAGCCACACCAGCCAGGGTGGAACCAGTTAATTTTAAAGTGTGGATTAAAAAGGCAGACACATTACTATGAGCATACGGATATTGCTTTTTTAAGTACATTTTCAGGAATGAGGTAGCACTGCCTTGACTGATGAGTTTTAAGAATGTATGATTACACTTTTACCAAAAAACAGAAATACGGGCACTAAACAAACTGAAGTGGGATAAATGATGAGCAAGAAATTTAGATGTTAGTGAAGATTTCAAGAGGAAGACATCCAAAAAATTACCTTTTAGATATTTCTGTTCTGCCTCTAGTATTTTGGTTGTCAGTAACTATAGCCTGCCAATAAAAATCTTTTGTCTTGAGAATTAAGTTCCGGACCCACATTTGTATACCCCACTCAGCAGAACAAAAGCTCTAGGGGTAGCTTTAGACACAAACTTACTGACCTTGCTGCTATTCGATCGTGTCCATCAGGAAGGACCCCCATCCCATGCAGTTTATTATTCGTACACACACCCAACGTGTGGAGCTCCTAAGAAAATGTAACTTTTTTTTTTCATCAATATCACTGGCTACTATCATCATTATACCTTCTCGAATTTATAAAAGGTTTTCACATTTATTATCTGCCACTTATTCCCTACTGTAAACCCAGGCATTATCAACCTGTTTTAAAAGTAAAGAAACAGAGGAGTATGGACTATGCTAATTCTTAAATTCACTTCCAGATCTGAACTGTATTGTTTTATATATAGTTCAGTTTAATTCATTAGTAAGATTAAATGGTAAATCACTCGTTATAATGGAGAAAAGGGAAATAATATGTGCTAAGTGCCTTTACCTGATGCTTTTGCGTTTATCTTATTTAATCTCCGTAACCAAGTCATATAGGCATTATTCCCATTTTACAGGTTAGGAAACTAAACAGTACTTTGTTTCTGTTTCCTGTTAATGACTTAACCTTCATTCTTGCCGGGGAGTATTTTTACTGCACTTTCTCATATCCTAAATGTTCTGACAAAAGAACCATCCTGCTAAGGACCATGTTTTTTCTCCATTGCATTTGTCCATAAACATCATACCCTTGTATGCCTAAAGAATTTAAGGGACAAAAATTTGATGGTTAGTAGTTTTGTTAGTATCCTAATATAAGAAATACTTAGTTTTTTAACCGCCTCTGCTGAAGTAAGAAGATTGCTGTGCTCTCTTCTCCCAGGAGCATCTGTGTCCTCACTGCCCTAAGAATCCTCGCCGACTTATTTCTGTATTTCTGAATTATATGATGTCTATTTGATGAAATTCTGTGTGCCTGTTAAAGAAGGAAAACCCTACAAGATATTTTATGTGATAATCTCAACTTGAAAGTACCTAAAATATGATTCCTTCCCATCTCCTTTTTTTAAACACAAAATATGTGTCATTAAGTGTGGTTTGAATGTCATGGCTATGTATTAATCTTTCCAGTGGTTGGAAACCATATTGAGATAGCACAGACTTGTGGAAATTTTTATCACATTTCCATGAGTGATGGGGTAGAGAATGCTGAGAATGGATGAGTGTGCTAATGATGAGCAGCTGAAATGCTGACCCAGCCACATTGCTTGATATCATCTGCTGTTTGGCTTTGTTAACAGCACTTAATTTTAACTTCCTTCGTGAAAGATAACATGACTCATGAAGTGTTTGGTGCAGTAGGGATTTCTTCTGTTTATTATTCCTGTTGTCCCCTATATATTTGTTTTAAATTTTGATTCTCTGTTTGTTGTTTTTAACAACACCAAGGAGGATCAACCAGCTCTGTACAGAGCTGGACAGAGTTATTCGTCATCCCAGTTTGTTTTAGTGCAAAGTGGAGTGGTGTTTTTATGACTGATCTGAGAGGAGATCCCTGATAGCTTCTGAAAGCAAGATTTTATCCGGTCAGTCCTGTGTGTGCCTGGTTTGAGGAGTCTTGTCAGTCTGTCATCCCCGTCAGGTTATGGGAACATGAATCACTACATTAAGTAATATACCCCAGAGTATACAGTCAGCTGCTGAATATATCATTAGATATATTCTTAATATTACCTCATTAATTCCTAATATTGTGGAAGATCCTTTGTTGTGCAGACACATAGTAAAAGTCCGCTAAGTTGATTGATGAATATGTGGGTTACTCTACATTCCACACTGGTTTCTGAGTTTTCTAATACTGTTTCATGCAGTTCCCACCCTACTGGCCATTGCAGTGCTACCCAGTAGAACCTCTGCCGTGATGTTCTGTAGCTACAGCTACACTGTAGCCATTTGGAGCTATTGAAATGTGGTTAGTAAAACTACGAAACTGAATTTTTAATTTAATTTTAACTTAGTCATGTAAGTATATAATTGTGTCACATATAATATTGCTTCATTTGCTTTTTTGTTTAATATATTACATATTGTACCTTTTCAGTGACTGTTAAATGATTATAATTAGACCGTTTAATCCCTTCCACTTAGAAGTAGATATTTTTGTGTATGTTTCAAACATGGAGTTATAGAAATAGTATTGTAGAGAGACTTCTAGATCAGCAATTTTCAACCTTCTTCATCTCATGGAACACATGAACTAATTACTAAAATTCTGTGTAACATCAAAAAATGTATTTTTTGCTGACCTGGCTGAAAAAAATAGGTATAGAGTTTGAGTTATGCACACCAGATGGCTATTGTTGTGTTGGCTGTTGTCACTTTTTATTTGACAATCTAAGGGAAAAGAGGTCATTCCCGAGCTGGGTAGCTTAGTTAGTTGGTTAGAGCATCACCCGCATACATCAAGGTTGTAGGTTCAATGCCCAGTCAGGGCACATACAAGAATCAACCAATGAATGCATAAATAAGTGGAACAACAAATCACTGTTTCTCTCCCCTACCCCCTTCCTCTCTTTCTTTCAAATCAATAAATAAAAAAGAAAAGGGGTCAGTGTCCCCGAATAAATAGACAGGTATTGCATGTTTTTAAATTTCTTGCAGCACACCAGTGGAAGATTACTGTTCTAGATCATTGTAAGGAAGTGATTTTTAGGTTCTGTCAGATTGTTTTCAGTGAGAGAGAAATTAAGGAGACAGGCAAAAGCTTGCTCTTAGCCTCCACACCCTGTTACTGTAGCATGTGGCATTGCCCTTGTTTCCTTGCAAATAGTGAGCCACTGTTAGCTCGGTCGAAGATCAGTTGCACAGTGTTAGTCCTACAGTTTTTTTAAATCAAATCCTTATTAAGCAATAAGCCACATTTTAGGTGTTCAGTAGCCACATGTGACCAGCGTTTACCACATGGAACAGCACGGATCTAGTCCGTTAGCCACCGTCAGCTGCTTGGCACTTGTAGAACCCTTACCCAGCTGTGGTGGAATACATGTTCTTTCGAGTGCACGTGGAACTTTCACCAAGGCAAACCAAATTCAAGGCCATGAAGCAGTCTCAAATCAAAAGACTGAAATCTCACGGTATATTCTGTGACAGCATCAGAATTAAATAAGAAAATAATAACAAGTTATCTAGCAAAACCACTATATCTGGAAATTAAACAATATGCTTCTAAGTAATTTGTGAATCAAAGACAGAATCTTATGGAAAATTGGAAATTGGTAATGAAAATACACTATATCAAAATTTTCAGTTTAGCTGAAGGAGTACTCGGAAATTTGTAACTTTTTAAAAAAAGATTTTGTTTATTTTTAGAGAGGGGGAAGGGAGGAAGAAAGAGGGGAGTAGAGGGCGGACAGAAAATGAACTGCAATATGACGTCCCTTTTGATAACTTCTACAAAGTAACTTGTTAAACTGCAATGACTAGCAATAAAATCGGTGGGAAAAAATAGTACTTTAAAAATTATAAGGAACAAGTTGGTAGTTGAGAGCAGGATTGAATTAAGCTTTATAATTAAAATTATTTTTTATAACAGAAGCCTCAGTTTCTTTGAATTCAAATTCATGTTAGTGTTCTGATGTGCCCGTTTGGAAAATAATGTAACCTAGGGGTGGAAATCTATAGACAAATTTTATAAACCCATGAAAGAATTTTAAGGCTGAGAATTTGAACTTAGTTTTGAAATAGCCAAGTGGTATCCTGGCTGGTGTGGCTCAGCAAATTGAGCCCCGGCCTGCAGACCAAAGGGTCGCTGGTTTGATTCCCAGTCGGGGCACATGCCTGGGTTGCAGGCCAGGTCCCCAGTAGGAGGCACACAAAGGCAACCACACATTGATCTTTCTCTTTCTCTTCCCCACTCTCTAAAAATAAATAAATAAATCTATAAAAAAATAAAATAACCAAGTGGTAAGCAGCCATGTGCATCCCATTGAGAAGTATACAGTACTTACTTTCAAGACAGACATTCCCAGAAGACCCTGCAGAAATGATTGGCTCCCAGGAGTTTGTATAATTTCACTGAACTGAAGAAAAAAAAGAATATTTAAAGCATTGAATTTTTTTCTTACAGGTTTATAGACAAGAAGGAGCGGTTAAGTCAACTTAAGAGCAAGCAAGAAGAATTTCAAAAAGAGTGAGTTTTCATTTTGCTTTTTAATTTGTGGAGATATCTAGTCACCATGTGGATTAATTCAGCGCGATGGTATACAGATATATGGATTGCTAGCTTATTAAATTTAGAAGCAAAATAGAGTTGTAAGTTTCTAGAAAATACTGGGATCAGTCCTGGGGCCTATGCACAGTAGGCACTCAGTGATGGGAAGGGATGTTGAATCGAGCCCCAGCCCTGACCGTTGATAAGTGGCAGAGGGGTCCAGGAGAGTAGGCTGTTTAGACATAAGTTAGTGGCTCCTGCAGGACGTTACTGCTTTCATTTACCTTTCTTCTTCTTCTCTGTCAGTGCTTTCGCAGAGTGTGGTCATCTACATCAGAATTCAGTAACTGAGGTCATGGTTAAATGCAGATTCTTAAAACCCCATCCTCAGATATTCTGATTCAGTAGGTCTGGGGGGAGGCCTGGGAATCTTGAGCTATTACCGAGCACCCCGGTGCACCTCTCTCACTCTGGATTTGAGAATTTGCATGTAGAACCTTCTGTCCCAAACTGACCCAGTCACTGTTCTGCAGGCACAGCCCAAGTCTGATAAACATTTTAGTAAGTGGATTAAATACTCTGAGATGCCTTGGCATTAGAGAAATCTACTTGGATTAATTTAGCTCAATTATTTCTCTAATTGATTTGATGACTGAAACTTTTATGTGTATAGAACACTTTGCTCCATAAAAACAAATTTTTACAGATACTGGCTTGTGCCTTTTCTTTGGGAGATGATCATAGCATTTTCAATCATGCATTCTCCTGTAACTATCATTATTGTTAATGATGACTGATGGGAATTATTGTGACCGAGGACAAAGGCTCTGGCTGTTACGGAAGTTTATCGTGAATGTACATAGAAAGCTCTGGGCTATGTCAGAAGCGCAAAAAGAAGGAGGTGAGAAAAAATGACAGAGAACAGAATTTGGAAAATACTTTGGTATTTCCAGCCATTTATAAAAACTTATTTTAAAAGTTGTTGATTTTACATTTTTGAGCTTTACAAAACTGAATTATTTTAAGAGCCTATTCTTTATGTCTCTTCTCCATACAGAGTGTTGAAAGCTATGGAAGGAAAATGGGTGACGGATCAGTTGGTAAGCTGTAAGAGCTATTTCAATAATATTCTTTGACTTGAGGTTACATGTCTTTAAGTTGGTAGAGCTTAAGAAATCATTGCGAATCTAAATTTGTTTTTGCTTATTTTTCAAAGTCCTCTCATTGAATATATTTGTAGTGTGGGCTTTTCAAATACTTTATCTAGATACCAAAAATGGGGTATTGACAGCTAAGTAGGGTGCCATCATAAAGGTTAGCTAGGAAGTCTGGTATTGACATAGAAATACAAGAGCAGTGGGCTGTCCTTTTTGAGAAAACTTAGTCATCATGAACACACATATTTTAGGTGGGTTAACAATTAAATGTGAAAAAATAAACTAAAAAATATGAAAAGAAAGTATGGGAAAGGGTTTATATATTCTGGGGATGAGAGGACTTTGATAAGCCATAAAGGAGAACATTTTGACAGGCTATGTAAAAGGTGTTTTATGTTAAACACCCCATGCAAAATTAACATAAACTGGGAAAAAATGAGTACAACATATGAAAATAAGGAGTTTGGTTGATAATGTTTTTATTCACTGTTGGTGGGAAATACACATTGACATACTTGGGGGACAGTTTTGTGGGGGGTTTTTTTCCTGATGCACATGTGGTATATCTAGCAGTTTTCCTCTTAAGGAGATGCACACAAATGCAGAGATTTATGGATAAAGATGCTGACTGTCTGCAGCACGAGGAGTCAAGTTAATGTATAAATAAATTAAATGCTAAGCAGAATGCAATAAATATGACACTGTGTAGCTGTTAAAATGAATGTGGTCAGTCTGTGTGTATTGATACAAAGTGATGTCCAAGATAAACTTTTTAATGAAAAATCAACAAAAGTAGGCCAAAGTGTGAATCCATATTTGTGAGTACGTGCTTTAAATATAAATATGCTCTGAAAAGTCTGGAAAGACGCTCATAGAACTTTGAGGTTACCCTTGAGGAATGGGAAGGAGTCAGGCTAGCAATCCCTTTTTTCTGTGATGTCTAATTTTTTCACAATAATAAGCATCACTCATAGTTTTTAAATAACTTAAAGAATAGTTATGATAGAAGTGAATTCTATCCATGCTCTGAATGTTACGGAAACAAAATATTCCATAGAGAAAAAGATCATAAAAGGCCATTTGTAAAGAATCCCATCCCCATTTTTCTGCATTCCTTGTACCGTTTTCTAATTTTTCTATCAAAAACTTCAATATTAATTCTCAAAGACTAATACCTTTTAAAAGTGAAGACATCTTATTGCCAGTTCTTCTGCATCGACCAATCCCCAAGAACCTGTTTGCAGATATCTCTCTCACCCCATTGGAGAGGTTGGCATTTTACCCACTGGAACGTCCCTGTGACCTGCTCTGTATCTCGTACTGTTGAGCACCACAAACGTTCGAATGTTGTTTAAAGCTTTTAATTGACCACATTTATGGAGACGTTGTAGAGTAGATAGTTACACTTTTTAACTGATTACTAAGTCATGTTTTTACTGATGATCCTTTATTTACCTTGGGGGAAGTAATACCTAAATCCTGGTAATGTAAAGAGGAAATTTCATGTTTCTTTTTTGTGGTGGTGGGGTGTAATTTCATGTTTTGTATAATTAAGGCTTTTCAGGACATCTTATATGAGTTATATACTTGTTAAAAAACTTTCATTTTATTGCAGTTTTAATTATTTTGAAAGTATTTGTTGATTGTGTCAGAGAGGTAATACAGAGATGTTCGCAGTCTCTGTAACTAGCACTAAGAGTTTAGAGCAGGGCATCAGTAGAACTTTCTGAGATGATGCACATGTTCTATGTCTGCATGGATCAACATGGTAGCTATTAGCCACATGTGGTGTTGAGCACATGACATACAGGTAGTGTGAGTAAGGAGCTGAGTGTTTTTTATTTTATGTAATTTTAATGGACTTTTAAGTAGCCATGTGTGACCAGTAGCTATATATTAGACAGAGCATGTTAAGAGAATATCCTTTAACATTTTTGTCTGTGAATTTTTTTTCTCTCTTAATTTTCTAGCAGCTTCTGCATAGAATCAAAATAACATTTTTTTTCTTTTTGGTAATCTACCATAGTTATAAAACTATAATAAATATAATGGTCTTTTTTCATTATGTTTTCTAAGATATACCTAAAAATAGGTAATGATACCAGGTGGATAATCATTAATTATGAGATCAACATTTCTGATATTTATTGCATATTTTTTAAGAGATGGAAAATAATGTCCTGCAAGATGAGGATTGAACAGTTGAAACAAACAATATGTAAAGGAAATGAAGAAATGGAGAAAAGTAAGTAATTTGACCCCCTCCCTCCAGCCCTAATAAGGAGCTCCTGTGGAATTCCATGGGATTAGAAAACTAGAGAGACGGAGAAAGAGAGCGGTGGAATGGGGGTTATAGCCACCTGGAAAGTTCACTGCTTGCCTTTCTCTACTTCTGAAGTATTTGTGTAAGGAATTCTTATATAAGGACCTTTAAATAACCTGCTGTCTTTCTCATTTACTTCAAAAAGTGAAGGAACTCACCCTGACAGATGTGGCTCAGTCAGTTGGCTGGGTATTGCCCTGTAAAGCCAGCATTTGCCAGTTGGATTCCCGGTCAGGGCTCATGCCTGGGTAGGTTGCAGGTTTGGTCACTGGTTGGTGAGCAAGCAAGAGACAACCCAGTGTTTCTTACACATCAGTGGTTCTTTCTTCTCCCTACCTCCCTCCCTTCCCCCTCTCTAAAAATAAATTTTTAAAATCGTTAAAGTTTCTTTTTAAGTTAAGAAACTTAAGTTTCCATTTGTCTTAGCTAACAGGAGGGAGATTCAGAGTCTAACTTGGTAACCATTTATACTTATTCATACCAGAAGCACAGAATATTGTTCTTTTTCTTCTGTAGTGTGTCTTACACATATTTTAATCTGTATTAATCTTACGTTATATTTTTATAGATACTCTGTCATGGGTGATTAGCAAAATTTAGGAGAATCCTCTTAGAAACCCTGTATCCTTAGAAATATTTTGTGTATTTCTGAAGATCATTGTTTAAAGTTTAGAGTGAGTCACCATCATACCTTGTGAATCCCTTTCCTCTCTATTCATTGCTTTCAGAAGCAATATCCTGCAGTGGTATACAGTGGTGTAAAAGCTTCCTTTGAAAACTTTTGTCCTTATAAAGTACTCCTGAGGAGCTTCACAGAGGTACTGAGCTAGAGAAGCAGGGCAGCACGATGGAGGGGTGCTTAGAACTACAGGCAGCCGATTCTCCACTGAGTTTTGCATGCATTCTCCGAAGACTCGGTTTCAACAGCAGTGCAGGGACTTGTCACTTGACCTTGATTCACCCTCTTTCCCCATGCTCCCATGGTGTGTATACCAGGAGTTTGTTCCTGGGCATCTGAGAACCTCCTGAAGCTGCTGAATTTCCTGAGCTTGTGCATTTGTCTGATGAGCAAGTTTAAACTTTGGTCAGCTCTAATAGATTTGTAATACCAGAATACAAAAGCAACAACCACGGAAAATAAAAGATATGGTTCTAAAGCAGTGGACTTGTAACAGTGGCTTCCATCCCTAGCAGAGTGACCTGGTAACTTTTTAAAAATCTACAGAGAGAATCATGGGACCCACCCTAGGTTTAGGAAATTACAGTCTCATTCAGTGGGGACTGGATTAGGGGTTCTTAAACTGTCTGTAGTGAAAGACCAGTCTTTTTCTCTTTGATCTCCAATCTGTCATAAACCAATACCAATACTTTTATAGAGTACAATAAAATTAATCACTGGAAAAATGACTGCATGCTTCAATGTTATGACGACGTCAAAAGAAAATTCCCTAAACTTAGTCTGTGTTTCTGTACTTAGTCTGGTCGGTGAAAGTTGGCAGATGGGCCGTCACACTGAGTGCACTGCTGTGAGAGGTTCTGGTGGCCTGCCCGGGGTGGGGACCCTGCTCTTTGGAACAGAAATGCAGGCTAGTTGCCATGCCCACAACCTTTTGCAAACAAATCTCAAGGGAGTTAATGGATTCCAGAACGCTTTTTAGAGATAACTGTTGGATGTGATTTATTTTAGCTTCTGAAGGCCTTCTCAAAACCAAGGAAAAGAATCAGAAGCTTTATACTCGAGCAGAGCGGCATCAAGAGAAAAAGGAGAAGATCCAGAGGCACAATCGCAAACTTGGTGACCTGGTAGAAAAAAAAATCGTCGACTTAAAAAGTCATTATGAGCGTCTGGCGAATCTTCGGCGATCTCATATATTGGAGCTCACCTCTGTCATTTTTCCCATCGAGGAAGTAAAGACTGGTGTGAGGTACAGTAAGCAACTCTATCGACTCTAGAGTACATCAGGTTCCAAAGATCAAGTATTTTTCAAGTGCGTCAGCACCTCATTCATGTGACCTCATTCTGGGGCCATTGGTTTTCCTGGTAACTAAACTGGATGAAGTCTTATCTGCTTCAGCAAACACTGCACATTGCATGGAGCCGGGAGGCAGCCAAGGTAGAGGGTGGAGGCCACAGAGTGGGGCCCAGGCTTGTGTACTCTCACAGCTTCCAGTGAGGTGCTGACTCACTCCTGATCAGAAACTGTCTGGTGGCCAGTGTCGCCTGCAGTCCCAGCTGGGCTGTTTATTAGTTATCTGCTGTGAGGCAGGTTCTCGAACCTCAAAGTCTCATTTCCTTGTCTGTTAGGGGTAATACAGTAAGTGCCTACTTCACAGACAACTCATGCACTGAAATGGAAGAAAACATCTGGTACTTGGCGTCTCTTACATGGGGACAGCCTTTTCCTGGTGACTAGCTGCTGCCGAGCATGAGGTGTCCTAAGTCTGCTCTTAAGCGGTAGTCCGTGGATACCTCAGGAGTCCGAGGGATGGCAACACCGTGGTTCCGCCCCTGGCTGTTCCTCAGAGTCACCCAGGAGCTGATGAAAACTACAGGTCCAGAGGCTATACCTCCAGCCCCCCAGTCCGTCTCATAATACTTCTTAAAAGCTTAAAACTTGCCCAGATGATGCTGATGAGCAGCCAGGTTTGGAAACACCACTGAAGAGTCTCATTTTCCTCCTCACTCAGCACTAGGCTCTCTCGGTTGGGGCTTTTCCTGTCTGTCCTGTCACCCTCACTTTCCAGCCACCTTCCCTGGAACGCGACAGTCAGCGGGCTACTGCCAGCTCCGTGACTGTCCTTTCTGCCTCTGCTTCAGTGTGTCCCTTCGTCTGTTGCCAGGCTTAGCTTCCTAAGCTTAAAAGTCTGTTGCTTCTAGTTTGAAAACCTCTCTGAATTCTTACCAAGTAATATATCATTCACAATAGCTGGTAGTAAACTAAAAAGGCACATTCAAAATACAGAATAGAACTTTCAGAAATAAACCTGTATGGTGGCTTTTTGGACGAGTGAGGGAAAGTTGGAGTACCCCAAAATTGGTATAAAGACAACTAGCCAGGCGAAAGGGGATAAAAAGCTGACGAAGTAGAGACATTATGCCCAATTAAACTCTCATGGGCCGGGGCCTGCTCGAGAATGTTGAAAGAGGCCACAAATTCCTTTTGGAGGTATCTTTGAGCGCACTGAGTGGTCACCATGAGCAAAGCTCACCCTCCCGAGTTAAAACATTTAGGGACAAGAAGCTACCATTGAAATTAAATGGTGGCAGACATGTCCAAGGACATGTTGTGGGCGTTTGACCCTTTTATGAATCTTGTGATGCACGGCTGTGTGCAGATGGCCCCTAGTGGGCCGCAGCAGTGTTGCAGTGGGGCGGCAGGGCAGTTAGAGTCGTCGTGTCAAGAGCCCTGGGACGGGCAGAAAGAACGGCCACATGCACCAGAGAAATCAGCTGCTCCTGCACGTCCCCTTTCCACAGCCCCTGTTTTACTACAGGACAAAAATAGAGTTGTGTACATTTGCACATTGAACTTGTGTTAAATAAACTTTTGTAATGGTCAGGAAAGATTCTCACGGGCCAGGATATCACTGTTAAACATACTGCAGCCAACAAAGACCAAGACACTGTTGCAGATTTTAGGGCGCTAAGACTGACAGCTGCACACACAGTTGCAGAGGAGCAGTCATGGAGAACAACTTTCTCCTTTCTACCTGTGCCGATTAAGTTTTTCTATTACAATATAATTACATACTATTAATTTTTTTAAGCTGATGGCTTTGAAGTTAGCCCTATAATAAGATTTCTTGTTCATTCACATTTCTCAGACTTCCTTGAGTGGGAGAAGGAAGGAGAAGCGGGACAGCTTAGAACAGCTTAGAACTCACCCCGTCTTATCCATGACAGGCGGTAGGAGTGACGCCACGTGTGTTGTGGCAGAAGGAAAAAGGGCCGAGAACCACTGGCCGAGAACAGCGTCTGGACGTAGTACAGCACAGAAGGCCCGTGTCCGTCTCCCATTTCCTACCTGCTTCGCCGCCACTGTCTCCTGGCGCTTCCTTGCGCCCCTCTACGCACAGCCCCACGACCATCTGTGCTTCCAGACACATTGCGTTCTTCCTCCTGCGCATTTGTGCCCACCCTGGCTTCTCAGTCCCACCCACTCTTTAGACCAGCACTTCCCCACCTATGGTCTGTGGACTTCAGTGGGCCTTTGCAGCCCTTTCAGGGGTCCCTGTGTGGTCAGAGCTGTATTTATAGTTCTCTACTAACACTCGATTTTCCTTTTTCACTCTGTTGACATTGGCCCTGGTGGCTCATAAGCCATGGTGGGTGAAGCCTGTTGGCCGTGGCATATTTCAAGGCAGTGACACCCAACTACAGTAACAGTCACTGTATTCCACCATGTGCTTGCAGTGCTTTAAAAAGAAAAGCAGTTTTGCAACAAGAATGTTCTTGATGAGGCAGTAGAAATTGTTTGTATTATTGCCTTGGCCCTGCATACACACCTGATGAAATGGGAAGTGCAGACACTGCTTCTGCTGCAGACCGAAGTGCTGTGGTTGGCTCAAGGAAAAGCACTTGAGTGAGTGGCAAGCAGCAGTAGGTTTTTTCACAGGACATTATTTTTCCTTAAAAGAACAACCGAAAGACTTGGGTATCATAGAGATTTTCAAAAAAAATCTTGATCAGTGTTGTATTTTACTGTGTGACTCAGCCGGTCAATACTGTCACTCTTTATTAATGTTCTTGGTTTGAAAAATAGATTTTTTTTCATAAAGACATGCTGTGTTAACATGTAATAGATTTATTATTCTTGAATGAATTAATAATTTAAAATGTTCTCATTATTTCTAGTACAGTAAATCTCAATAGCTCTAACCCATATACACAAAAGCTTTTTGGGGTCCTCAGAGGTTTTTAAGCACATAAAGGGACCTTGAGACCGAATCATTCGAGAACCTGATATTTGAGGCCCTGGCTCACGGTGTCACCTTCCTTATACTCGTTGGGCTTCTGTGCCACTGCTGGTTTCATCTTCATCTCTGATAGCAGTCACTTATCTGTACAAATTGTAAGTAACTCCGGTCCCGTTTCCAGTGTTCTGCATATTGGCAAGTACGATACTGTGTATGTACTCTTTAAAACCCAGTCCCTTGAAGTCCATACGCATCTTCTGATTTTTAGAGATCCTGCAGATGTGTCTTCAGAGAGTGACAGTGCCATGACCTCCAGCACCGTGAGCAAGCTTGCTGAAGCCCGGAGGACGACGTACCACTCGGGGAGATGGGTCTGTGACGACCACAATGGGGACACCAGCATTAGCATAACAGGGCCTTGGATTAGCCTTCCCAACAACGGGGACTACTCCGCCTACTATAATTGGGTGGAAGAGAAGAAAACCACGCAGGGTCCTGGTGAGAAGCAAAATGGTCTTTGAAAACTTTCATAAATATGTACTTTTTAGTTGAGATAAATCTTACATAACAAAATGAACAATTTTAAAGTGAACAATTCAGTGGTACTTAGTACATTTACAGCATTGTACAACCGTCACCTCTAGTTCCAAAACATGTTCATCACTTCCAATGGAAACTCCAAGGCATGAAGCATTCACTCCCACGTTCCTCTCCTCCAAGCCAAGCCCCTGGCAGTCTCCCACCTGCTTTCTGTGTCTGTAGTCCTGTCTGTTCTAGACATTTCATATGAATGGGATTGTGTAATATGTAGCCTTTCGCATCTGACTTTTTTTCACTTGGCATATTTTCAAGGTTTGTGTATATCCAGCATCTCATTCTTTTCATGACTGAATAATCCATTGTATGGATATATTACATATTGTTTATCTACCTGAAGATGTACTGAAAACATATTTTAGACATTTCACATTTTGGGAGTCAATAACTTCTTTATTTACATAATAAGATCCCACTATTTAAAGAAGTGTATCTAGAGCTTGTATAACAGTCCTAACTGGAGGTTAAATGCCACAATTGCGAAACCCTTTAAAACTCTTGTAGCTTTTCTTTGGTGGAAAAGGACTGCTCAATTAGTAATTCAGCAAGTATTTTGTGAGTATGTGCTTTCTGTCATGCACAGTACTGTGTGCTGGTGATATGAAAGTGATGTCACCAAGGTGGGCATAGCCCTTTGCCTTTCTGTGGGGAGGACAGAAGGCAAGTAGTGATCAAAAGCACGGTACACTGAGTGTGCTGTGGGTGGACGCAGAAGCATGACAGGGCAGGGCTGGACAGGGAGGGACTGCTTTCCCATGGGGGAGTTAAGGGAGGCCTCTTTGGGCATTAATTGTTCGGGTAGATAATACATTATCAGGTTCGAGCAGTTCAGACTTTAATTTCATTTATGCTGGGCCAGTTTAGGCCCATTTACGTAAGTTACATTTCACTCAGTAAAAAGCATAAACAATGCATCATGGGCCTTTTATTAGTAAGGAGTAAAATGTAACCATCAGTGATGTGATGATAGAGCTAGAAATCATAAAATACAGGTTCATTTGTATTTTTGTTGAAATTGAAGCCTGTTTTTGTGTGTGGTGGTGGTTTTTACCCTTTAGACATGGAGCATAACAACCCTGCGTACACGATTAGTGCTGCCCTGTGCTACGCTACTCAGCTGGTCAACATTCTGTCTCACATACTCGACATAAATCTTCCCAAAAAGCTGTGCAACAGGCAAGTAATTGAAGGCGGTGATGTCTTGTCTGTCATGGATCTTTTATGTTCTTACTGTGTTCTCATTTATTCCAATTAAATAAAAAGAAAAATGTGTTATCGAGACAGAAGCAGTCTGACCATAGACACTGAGATTAATTTCAGAGTTTCATGTGGTGCACATTTGTGTTATCCTGCAATCACATGTGAAGTGTTTGTGAAGACCACAGAGAATCCTCCCACTTGTAAAAAGAATTGAGGAAAAAACAGGTTATTCAGAGGGTATACTCCTGTGCAAGAACTAGGTAATAGAAACATTTTTATACTTGAAATTTTTTTGATTTTTTAGAAAAATTAAAATGTGTTTAAAAATTTTTTTAAATGTAAAGGTTTACAGTCTACCCAGTTCCTAAAACCATCCTACCACCCTGTAGTTATCCTTGCATTTCAAGCAAATATAAACATACATGGTTACAATCACATGCACCCCCCCCCCCCCGTTTTAAACACGAAAGGTATTAATACTGTACTAAGGTGTTTTGCACCTTCCTTTTTAAGCTTTTATTTAACAAATATTTATTGAGTGCCTCCCTAATGTGTTGGGCACTGTTCTAGGTGCTAAGTGGGTACAATGGTGATGAAAACATAATCCCTGCTCTCTTGACACTTAATTTTAATGAAGGGACAAATAATAACAGTGCATCAGATGGTGACAAATGTGGAGAACATTAAAGCAGGGTGAGCAAAAGGGGACGTGGAAGCAGGGAAGGACTTGCTGTGTCTGAGTGGGCAGGTGTGTGGTCACGTGTGAACCTGAGGGAGGAAGGGAGCAAGCCCAGTAGACCCTGGGGCGGGAGGCTGTGGCAGAGAGGAAGGCCAGTGCAAAGCCCTGGGAAGAGTGAGTTGCAGGCAGAGCAGTGGAGACAGAGGGCAGCGGGGAAGGTAGGGATGCAAATCCTATGGGGCCTTGGGGGGGCTGTTGTGAGCCTTCTGCTCTCATTCTGCATAAAGCGGACAGTTGCAGAGTTTTCCTTTGTATAAATGTTCTGGGATCTTACCAGTCCTCTATTGATACTTAAGGGAATATCCTATGTATTCATCATTTTATTAGTTTGCAAGTATTTTTGTGGAATGAATTTTCAGAAGTGCGGTTGCTTGGTCAAAGGGTATATGCATCTGTGATTTTTGTAGATGCAGTGCAATTGCCCCATGAGGGGAATAGTTCATTCTTAGAAAGTTTCTAAGGACATTTAGGAGACAAAGTCCAGAGGGTAGGTTTTACACTGAACTGTAGTTTAAAGTATGCTCTTCAAAATGAACATCTTAACATAGAGTTTCCTTAAAAAAAAAAAAAACTTTATAAATCATATGTTTGTTTTACAGTGAATTTTGTGGGGAAAATCTCAGCAGACAGAAATTTACTCGAGCAGTAAAGAAGCTGAATGCAAATATTCTTTACCTGTGCTTTTCTCAGGTATGGAAAACGTGCTGTGAACTAATTTTTAATTTCTTAACATTGCTGAAAATAGTAATCAATTTTTTACTTTTTCTAGCATGTAAATTTAGATCAATTACAACCACTGCATACCCTCAGGAATCTAATGTACCTGGTCAGCCCGAATTCTGAACACCTAGGCAGGTAAGGAGGGTGTTTGTTGGGACCACCCTTAAAGGGGGTTGTTGTATGTGTTGGCACTCTACAGGGCCCAGTTCCTCATCGCCAGACTCTCACAAGGGGACGAAAATAGTGCAGTTCTGAATGGGAGACAGTGATTAGTCATACTTGAACCATCATGGTCCTTACATAATCATTTCCCAGAGAAAATTAATAGCAAGCATTTTTAACACCTACAAGAGAGTAGAAGAGCCCAGGGGTTCCTGGAGTGGGGCCTGTCTTGTGCTCTCAGAAGCTCACACGCCATCTCTTTGAATCCACATTTGTTTCTTCTCTAGCCTTGCCTGGTGTCCACCTCGTTGCTTGTGCATTTTCTTTTGTGCCTGCTCATTCCTTCCTTTCATAACAGTTCTTTACAATCCACTTCTTGTCACCGAGTCAGTCTGACTACCCCTTGTTGGACAAAGGCTATGAGATGTTTATGTGATGAAATGGTTTAAAATCCCCTAGCTCAAAAACAGGACTCAGTAACGAAAAAGACCATCCCGGACTAGCCTATGGGATCTTTTCAGTTTCTCAGCCCATAAATGCATGACCCTGATGAGGCTTATCTTTTATACTGTCCAAAGGCCCCTTCTCTGGGTATTTATCTCTTTTCCTTGTTCTGAGCACTCTGTCCATACATTTCTGTAGGTATGGCTTGATTAATATATTTGCACTTTTGAAAGAAGACAAGAAAATTAAAAGGTGCAAAGATTTTGGGGGTCCCTTCCCATCATCCACTTGCTTTGGCACTGAAACCAAGGTTCAAGGGGAGTCCCCTTCCCTGACCAGGGTGCCTGGCTTCCTTCACATCGCAGTAAATTTCCTGCGACATTCTGCCCCTAATCATGGTCTTGTTTCTCCCCTCTTCCCTCATCCTGCTTAAAACAGTGGTTAACTTTGGAAGAAGTTGCCAACTTTCTCCAGGAAACTGCATATACCCCCAGAATTCTGTGCCATTTCATAGGGAGTTCATGCCCCTTACCCCAAATCCCATTCCTTAGTTTAGGAGCCACAGAAACCCATTGGAAATCCACCCCAGTTTTAGTGGCCGGTTCTGTAGGCTGGCATGCCATCCTTTCTGTACCTTACCTGTAGAAGGTTCAGCATTAGGAGATTTATCGTTAATAAGAAGAACTAGTATTTGCTGAGCCATTATTTATTGACACTGGGCTAAGTCTTGGCATGCCTTAAGTCCAGGTAGGATGATGATTCTGACTTACACAGGGAGTAACTGGAGCCGAGCATGGCCAAGTAACTCATGCCCATGACTGCAGGGCCAGGAGAAGTGCTGGGGCCCGAGTCCCAGCACACCTCAGGCTGACGACAGCCCCAGTAGTGGATACTCATGCTTTTAACCAGCACACATCACTTTATCACATGAACACATTAAAGAAGAAAAAACACAAGATTAACCTGGCAGATGCCAGAAATCAATGAATAAAATTGTTCCCATTATTTAAAGAAAACTATCAAATTAAAAGGGATTATTAATGTTAATAAAGGATATCTACCATAAGCATATAGCAAAAACTATACTTAGTGGCATACTACTTAAATAGATACTTAATAGAGGCAGTCCCCGGCATCAGGGAAAACCAAGGGTGACCTACTATCACTGCTATGTTAACACTGCTCTGAAGGCCCAGCCAAGGCAATACATTTTAACAAAGAAATAAGGTGTACTTTATGTTGGAAAGAGGGAAACTAAGTAGACATTGTTGTAGTTGGTATGATTATTGAACTGGATATTCAAAAGAACTAAGAAACTGTTAGAAATAATAGTTCAGGATGGGGGCTAAATATAAGATCAACACACACAAAACTAGTTGCTTTTTATGTGCCCACAACAACTTGCTGAAAGATGAAGTGGGAAAAAGTCCCTTTTACTTTAGCAACAAAGGCTATAAATTATATAGAGAGGAGTAATCCTTATAAAATACATGTAAATCTATGTGAATAAAATGAAACTTTTTAAAAAGGATTTTATTTATTTACTTTTAGAGTGGAAGGGAGGGAGAGAAACATCAATGGGTTGCCTCTTGCATGTCCTCAGTGAGGAACCTGGCCCGCAACCCAGGCCTGTGTCTGGACCAGGGATCGAACTGGTGACCTTTAAGTTTGCTGGACAATGCCCAACACACTGAGCCACACCAATGAGGGCAAATTATGAAACCTAAAGAAACAAAAACCAGCGTGTAATTCCTGAATGGCTGCCAGGCACTGTATGAGATGTGGCACCAAATGAAAGAAAGCCCAATGCAGTGAAAACCCTTTTGATTTTCTAGGAGGGGAAGGCTCAGTTGTAAAAAAGCGACTTTTCCCAAAAAGGAAACCTGATCAGAATTTCCATAGATATGTCATGGAACTTAGACAAGCAGATTGTAATGTTTAACTAGAAGAACAGTCTGCGAAGAAATTTGGTAGAAGAGTAATAGGGGGTGCTCTTTGTCCCTTTAAAACATAGTATAAAGGTAATTAAAATAGGGTGCTGTTAGCATGCAAATAGGAAGAGCAATTAGAAGAGGAAAAGAGCCCAGAAACAGACTCTTGTATGTGTGGGGATTCATATGTGATAGGGTGGCATGTCGGATGGTAATAATAGCAGCTTGGTGGTGGTGGGCCAGTCGGGTAGTCATATGGGACAAAAAGTTGGATTCATACCACATTCCACACACAAAAATTAATTCCAGATGACATAAGCAACCATAATTAAAAAAAAAAACTGGGAGAAAAAACCGTTTTGTAATCATAGGGTGGGGAGGGAATTCCCAAACAAGCCACTAAACCCAAAAATCATAAAGGAAAGGAGTTACACATTTTAATGTGTAAAAACTCTAAATGTCTTTGTTAAATGATACTGTAAACAGTGTTGAAAGACAAACAACAGACAGATTTTGCAGTATCTGTAAGAGACAGTGGATTAAAATCTAGACTTAATTCAGGTCAATGAAAGAAAGGCAAACAACCTCAAGAAAATAGAGACGTATTCAAGCAGGCAGTTCACACACAAAAAATGCAAGTCGTCAGAATTCAAATGAAAAAGACTCTTTAGTCTCAATCAGGAATAAAGAAATGCACTTCAAACCAGGTGTCCATTTTCCATCTATCAGTTTAGCAAAAAGGGAAGGGTTGATGATGTGCGGGGTTGATGGCTGTTACCTCCTCAGAGGATCTGGCGTTTTCTCTGGGTGTGCCCTTGAGCCTGCCCTCCATCTGAAGGGCTATGCTCTGTGGGAGGACACACGCACACAGCCAGGCTGTCACCACGTCCACGATCTCCCAGCCTGTGAACCCGGCAGGCAGAGCTTTTTGTGCCTCCCTCAGTCCGGCCCAGAGAGGTTGGTAATGGAGCTTGTATGGGACTTCCTGTTTCCATTGAGACCGCCTGAACTAAGGGTTCTATCCTGAATCCAATGTGGACTTACTTTTTTTTCTTTGAAATAAATGAAAACTTACAGGAAAATTCCAAAAGTTAAAAATAGTATAAAGACACATTTATTCTTTACCCAGATTCACTTGGTTAGTGTTTGACCCCGTTCACTCTGTCATCCATGCTCCCCTCTCTCCCTCTCCGTATTCTGATCCTTAAATACACAACAGTAGGTCTTTCTGAAGTCTTTGTGGATAATTACATATAGCATGGCTCTTGACCCCTAAGTATTTTAATGTGTATTTCTTCTAAATAGGGAGTTTCTTATTTAACCACAGGAAAGTTAGCGACATCAGCAAATTTAACAGCAGTGTGACACTTCAATCCACTGCCCATGTGCACATGTCGTCAGGGCACCAAATGAAGTCCTTCACAGCGTTCCCCCTCCAGGATCCAGTCCAGAGGCGGGTGTTACATTTAATTGCTATGTCTCTTTAAATCTGAAACATTTTCACAGCCTACTTTGTCTTTCCTTTTACAACATTAACATATTTTTCCTTTTTTAAAATGGAATTTTCATTTTGAGATTGGGTGTTCCCTTGCAATGAGATTCAGGCTCTGCATTTTAGGCTAGAACCGGCCTAGGCAGGAATATCTCCTGGATATCACACCTGGGGACCCACAGTGGCCAGCTGTTCCTCTTTATTGGTGATGTTAATTCAGTCACTTAGTCAGGATACTTTGTAATTTCTCCACTGTATAATTCCTATATTTTTCCTACCATGCTGTGTGTGGGGAGACACTTTAAGACTACAGTTATCCTTGTAATCAAATGCCGCCGTGCCCCCCCACCCCCCGCCAGGATTTAGTCTTTCTTTTCTGTGATGGCACCTACATTAACACACTGCTATCATTTGTTGGGGCCCACCCTGCCTGGTCTCAAGAAGCTGTAACCCCTCACAACTTAGGCTGAGTAAGAGACCTCTGAACCAGGAGCCACTAAGGAGACAAAACTTATTTCCCTGGCATGAACGCTGCCTGCTCCGTGCCTGGCCTCCTATGCTTGATAAGTTAGCCAGTGACGGGTAAGATTTCCCACGAGGGGGAATCGCCTAAGACAGGCATGATCATGAGAAGGCCTCAGGGAAGAGACTCGGGACTGTGGAAATGAAGGGGTGATGGACATCGACCCCTGCCCCCTCGGCTTTGTCAAAGCCTGAGTCCTTGTTCTTAGTTGTGAGAAATCCAAGTCTCCTGGCTGCCTTTGTCTCCTCTGCCCAACTCAGGCCTGCGGAAATAGCAGGGGCAGTGCATTCCAGACCAGAGTCAGCAGACCCCCGGGGTAATCAGGCCTGGGACATAGAATATGCAAGATCCTGTGAGATCTTCTTGCTGGAGGATGCTATTGAATTAGAATATGAAGGCATGGGCAGGAAACGAGACTATCCTTTTAGGTCCTGTAGTCTTTTTAAGTGATAAAACACAAACTCTCTGCCCAGAATTCCAGCGGGAGTTCTGTCAGACCCTTTGAAAATTACCTATCCCCTTTGAGCTTCCCTGCCAGACTGTAATCCACAAACTGTGTCTGTATTCTTAATAAAAACCTGCTTGGGTGGGAAAACAGGGTGCTCCCCACTAAGAGAGAGTGGCCATTTTGTCCCTATTTCCCCACAGGACTCGGTTGTCCCTGTGTATGTTTTTCTCGTGTTTCGATGAGCCATCTGCAGCGTTCTGCTGTCACTGCAGGCCAGTGGCCATTCACAGTCATTCAAAGTCCAGAGTTTATATTAGGGTTCACTCTTGATGTTGTATATTCTATAATATTTTAAAAATAAGCTGTTTTGCAAAATGAGACTTTTAAAAAGCCAAAAAGATCATTTTGTTGCCTTCATTGACAGGAGTTAAGTCACTGTATCATGAGAAAATACGTTCCCTGGCTTTATTTTATAATCTGTATTCCCCAAAGACATTAAGCAGAAAGACTTAATTTTTATGCTAGTTAATTCTTTGGGGGAGGGGGGGCACAGGTGAGCTGGCAGGTAGTGATTACGCTGGAAGTGATGGGAGAAAGGCACGGAGTGGAGGCCCAGTTTGAGGGGCTTTTTGGAATGTAACTTGTTCACTAGCAACCAATAGAAACCCTGTGGCACATCTTCAATTTAATTAGTACTTGTGAGGCCTTAAAAACAGTGCCTAGAGCAAAAAACATTGGCCATTCCTGTTGCTGTGTTCCAAGTGGGAAGCAGCGTGGTTGTCTTGGAGGGCAGGAGGCTGCCCAATCCTGGAAAAAGTGAGTCAGCAGGTGCAGGTCTGGTGAGGTGCACAGGAGGCGAACGCTAGGCCTTTATCATCGTGAAGACTAAGAAGTGTGGACCAAGGACTGAAAGGACAGGCTGTACAATTCTAGGATATTTCTCCTTTCTCTGTTATTTTTGTTCTCCTCTGTCATTTTCCCCAAAGTAGTTGCTAGTGAAACTTTTAAATGAACCAAGGCCTTGGACCATATTATTTTGGGGGCAACAGTGGATGGATAGGGGCTGCTGGGGAGGGACTGGTTGCAGGGAACTCCCCTGGAGGGGCCGTGGTTGGGGGACTGCCCGCCTGAAGGAGGGGCAGCCTGGCTCCTGTGAGGCGGGAGCTGGAGGGCACTTGAAAAGGGAGAAGCAGAAGGCCTGTCGCAGGGAGTGAGGCCTGAGAAAGAAAGGTTATTGGGTTTGGAGCTGAGGACATTATAAGGAACCTTTGGGGAATAAAAAAATATTTCCTAAAAGACAGTATAGAAGTATGCAGTATTCCAGACGAATATATTCTAAATAATCCTATCTCACTCTGTGCTATAAACGTGTCCCTAGAAAATTATGTGATACCTTGGATGGGTTCGACAGCTGCTGCTGACACTGTCCCCAGGAAGCTTTGCTAACATGCACACAGCTGCGTCATTTAGCTCTTTTGAGTCTTGAGTTTAATAATTGAGTTAATAACTGGGCTTTATAAACCAGAGAACATCTTGCCATTTTCTTTGTACACCATTTGATACTTGCTGCACTAACTAACATACCGGAATATATACATCAGGTGACTTTTTGTCCTAATTGTGTCATTGGAACGCATAGATAATGCAGTTGTTTAAAACAGAAAATCGTACTTTGGACCAGAATAGATCTAGGTACCAGTGAACTGATTTTTCCATCCAGGGTCTTCACAAATTAGGTAGGATTGAGAAGTGTGGTTTGGTGCACTACTCATTACTTGGATGGGAGTTATTATTTAGATTAAAAGAAAAAAAACAACTCAGACCAACAGCGAATGAATACAGTGCAGACTTAGGAAGCAGGTGCAGCCATAGTTCTGGGTCTCCTACATGCCATCAGGTCTTCTGTCACCTATTGTCACACGTTGTGAGAATACTGGTTGTCTTAAAGAGGCCCTCACTGTCTGTCTGCACACAGGTCAGGACCCTTTGAAGTGCGAGCAGACCTGGAGGAGTCCATGGAATTTGTGGATCCCGGAGCTGCTGGAGAATCAGATGAGAGTGGAGAGGAGCGCATAAGTGACGAGGAAACAGACCTGGGCACAGACTGGGAGAACTTGCCGAGCCCCCGGTTTTGTGATATCCCTTCCCAGCCTGTGGAAGTCTCTCAGAGCCAGAGCACCCAGGCGTCCCCACCCATCGCGAGCAGCAGTGCCGGCGGAATGATCTCGTCTGCTGCAGCCTCGGTGACCTCCTGGTTTAAAGCTTACACTGGACACCGTTAACAAGCATGGATCAAAACATGCCAGATTTGCATCAAGAAAGTAAACTAGCAAACTTTATGTATTAGGTAAGACCATGCCTGGAACAAAAAGGTTTTCAACTTTTTTTGTTTTGTTTAGAGCAGGGAGGCAAGCATTTCTGTTTGTCAAATGGCCAGTGGTGGTGACCGACATCCTTATGGTAACTAATAGAACAGAGGGGTCAAAGGTCCTGCCACCCAGACTAGTGTTGGTGGAGGAACGACCAGAGCAGGACAGTTCTGTTGAGGCAGAAATCCGTTTGGGCTCCCTCTGATCACAGGCCAGGGGACCACAGACACAGGCTGGTGTGTTGGTCCGTGCGATGCTGAGGCTGTTCCTGAACACTTTACATTTTAGAGGCTGAATCACGAGGAAGTGATTCGTGATTAGGACTTGAAAGATAAAACTGTTTAATATGAGTTTGTTTTTATGCGATCGGTTTTGTACAGAGAACCAGCAAGCAATTTGAAATACTTGATTTCTTTATAATTTTGTCATGTTTGCTTTTTAGGTCAAGGATTTTGGTTTTGTTTGGAAAGGTAGTGTTTTGGGGGAGGATGGGTAGTTTAAAAATTATTTCACTTGTGCTGCTCTGTCGTAGCTCGTGAGACATTCCTGTTTTTCTCCCCACACACCAAAGAAACTAAGGTCTTTTCTTTAGGACCCATATCCATGAACAGAAGAAATTCTAGCTGCAATAATGTCCTAGAGATTTTAAACCTATTTTCTTATATTCTGAGGGGAATTAAGTTCCTTCTTAACTAGATTATTGAATTCCTACCATCTACACTATGTGCATTTGGAAACTGAACTTATATTGTGAGTGAAAGATGAAGTCATTAAGGTCTTCGTTAATGTAAGCTAAACGCCTGCCTGGGCGCAGGTTAAAAGCCACTGAAGTGAGTGGCCTTTGCTGTCTTTTGGTGTCCCCGTTGCTTCCTGAGGGGTCTGGTGGCGGCAGGGTTTCCAAGGAAACCCGTCCTGCTGGTTTGTTTCCTAGAGGTCTCTGCTGCTCTGCAGACACTGCCTTCCCTCACTAGAGCCGACGCTACTCTTCTCTTTCCTGGGGAAAGATCTGTGGAAGAATCTTCCTCACCAAGAGATCATTTTCAGCTAACGTGTCTTGTCATTCTCTTAGTGACAATCTTCTAAGAAAACTGTAGAGAGGCATTATGTACAAATATGTAAGTAGTTTATTTTTAATAACTGCAAAAAAAAAGTCCTATGTAACAACTACAAAAAGAAGTCCTATGAAAAACTCCTAACAGGCATTTATCACCGTACCTTGTTAGTGTGACTAGCATGATAGTACCTCAGAGGACTCATGGAGGTTTGCTCTGCCCTCACTTCTTTTCTTGTTGTACTTATTATAGGTGATACTTTGCCTCCAAATCCGAGGTGCTATATATATAGCTCTTGCTGTTGGTATAGTGTTTGGTGGAGTCTTGGGTAGAGTTGCAGCAGTGTGGCTATTCCTATCCAGGAGTCCCAAGTTCCCTGGCTCTGTGAATGTTCCACTTTGGGAGGAAACGGGCGCTCCTGTTTGAACCACTCAGCTTTATGATTGTGGGCTTGCCTGCATTGTACCATGCAGGCCTGTAATTCATGGAGTGGTAGACGTGAACAAATTACCAAATGAACTTAAAATCCCACGAGGTAAGAGTTATCCAGGTACTTCCAACCCTTACAAGGAAGAGCTTAGTCTCCAGAGTGAAAGACCGGGACTCGGGGCATGAGGGCAGAGCCTGACTTCAGCTGAAAGGCACGCTAGCCATGCTTCTCTCAAGTGAGCCTCTCGCAGAACCATGCATGTGAGATGAAGCTAAAGAACAGAATCCAGAGATCACAAACGTGTATCAAGAGCAATTCTACAAAACTTACCAGGATACGGGGAATGTGGGGATTGATAGGGTACGTTTCTTGTTGCTATCACCTAGAGGCACTTTACTTAGGGTTAAATGATCAAACCCTCTAGTGGTCGTGAACACCAACATACTGGCTTACTCTGCTGAAGTATTTGGTTTTCATTTTTTTGCACTGGATCCACCCTGTAAATATTCTGAAGTATACATTTCAACCACTGTTTTCTACTCTCTTTGCTGCTCATTAAAATCTATCATGTAGGTGCCAGAACCATATGTAAACAGCTTTTTTAAAAAATTGAAGCTGGTTTTTATTTTTAAACAAAAAGCCATAGAACTTGGTCCTTTTTTTCCATATTAAAATGATTTGTTGAAACAAGGTAATACTAATAAAAACCCAGCGGCACCAAATAGGCTGCTTAAAATGGTGTGTTAAGGACTTTTCTGTAATGGAGTATGGCTGAGAAAAGTTTTGCACATCTGTAAGTTAAGATGAAAAACATGTCAGCATTGGGTGTAGCGGACAGGATTCATTTAAGGACTCGTGTGTCGATGATTTGGGAGAGAGCGTTTGGTGGCATGCTGTTAAAAGAACCACAATATCTGAGAATATCCTCATGGTGTGACGTTGCAGAAATTTCCCATTGCTCTGCAACTTCCAAACTAGTTTGAGTCATACAAATGTTTTCTAAACTTTTATTCTATTATAATAAATCTTTTAACAGTACTTTGCTAATACATATGTCTTTTTCAAACTGATTATTCTTAATACTGATACATTACGGGTAACAAGAATGAGGTTTGACACTGGAATATTTTATCTAAATTACAGGATAATCTTTTGCCAGGCAAGAAAATACGCCCACTAATGCTTCTTAAAAATTATTGATCGTGGTGGTTGGTCACGATAATGGTCCATCTTTAGTAATCTGGGAAACTGGTCGCTGACTGGCTACATACTTTCTTGAAAGATGGATTTTTCTTTGGTGGCCATCACGTGATGCTTGTGCCCTATAGTGACTTGGTGGTGTGACAGCCTCCCGGGGAGGGAAGGGGTAGTCTCTAGGATGCCCACACGAACCTGCCCAGATTTTCTTCAGGACAAGAGAGAAAGAAAAAGGATAAAAATTAAAGGGAATCTGTCAAGCTAGAGGAAGAATCAAGTAGTTTTGGAGAATCCCTTCCCACTCCTCCCCCCACCCCCCCACCCCCCGGTAACGGGTCTCTCCCAGAGGATCCTGCAGGCTCAGGGATACCAAGACTGACTGCAGGGGAACCGTCAGGCCGACCTGGAGAAGTGGTGACGAACTGTTGCTGTGGCCGTCCTACTCCCTACCTGCAGCAGGAGGAAGCAGGCACAGAGATGGAAGGGGCCTGAACAGGGCATGTACCTCAGTTAATGTCCTGCAGTCTCCCTATTGAGTTACAGACATGTTCCCATCCAGTATGCACATGGAAATTTCCAGCCCCCAGTGTTACACTGTAGTTGATGTACAAATCAGGTTGAAGCAAATGGGTAGAACTAAGGATGGGTAACTTTGTCCTTTGTGAACAAAGCGGTCATTTAAAAGTTGCTTCAACAAAATGTACCAGGAAATTGGAAACTGGGCTTTTGAGTACGTCATCTAACTTCAGCTATGAAATGCTTAACGAGAGAAAGCCAGCTCCAGCCCCCATTCCAAGGTTCTGGTGAGGAAACACCCTGGGGAAGGAGTTCACAGTCTGCTTGGAGTTACATAGATGAAGTGGGGTTTTTTAAACCAGAAACCACCAGTTTCTTTTCTCTAGGGACAATCTTTTCTGGAAGAAAAGGAATAGTAAAACAGTAAGAGCCACATCAGTGACTTTTTTTTACTGATTTTTTAGGAACCTGTGATACAGTCTGTGGTGAGGGAAACTGGTGTAGATTTTGAACAGGCCCCTTCGAGAAGTAAGAAATAGGCAGGAGATACTGGACAGCACTAGGTACGTGTTGAAAGATGGGCTACAGCCCGTTGAGTGCCAGAAACTCAGAGTCATTAAGAGTCCTATGACTAAGGCAGTAACATCTCCAGATCCACATCATCCAGATTGTTCATCACCTCCCCCTTTGGGTGTGACTTTTTAGCATTTGCTGTATAACTTCAGGAGATTCCTAGATTTTGAAGAAGGGGCTTTCCTACCATTCCCAGCAGCTTATTTCCTTAAATTTAAAAACATCATCTGGAAGACATTTGTAGAACATATGCAAATACGTGGGTCACGATCTGAGTAAGAAAGTGCCAAGTGGTCTGTAAGTAGTAGGTGGAAGAGACATCCTATTCCAAGGCTGACAAAGGAATGACAGATGCATATCTTCTGTGTCCACATTAATAGTTGCCTTCATAGCTGGAAGGGCTCCTCCAGCACCCACAAATGGGGATCTCTACCAGGGTATTGACACTGGCTTCAATGGGAAGTTCTGCTACCCCCTTGAGGGCCTTTGAGAAAAATCCTGCTAATAAGAGCTGAAGGACTGCAGAGATCTCTGTGAACACCATGCCCAAGACCCTTTAGCTCCTAAGTTTCTCTACAGCCTTGCTGCTACTCAAGAAGTGATCTTTGCACCTGCAGTGCCAGCATCACCTGGGAGCCTGTTAGAGATGCATGATCTTGAGAGGGATATCAGCATAAGGGCAGAGTGAGAAGACCCATTTGTATCTCCCCTTCAAGTTACAAGTTAGACACCCAACTACAATTCAAGGATCCTCTGCTCAACACACAAACGTGTCTGAAAGATCCACATATTGATTCAGCTGAAGGTGGGCATATTGGAACAGGCACAGGCGGCCAGATGGGGGAAGGACAGTGATGGAGGTACAGACAGTTTGGCACCCACTGCAGCCCCAGCTGACACTGATAGATGTGGACATCTCTGGCTGCAATCCTCACACTGCAGCCTGGAGGGTAGGGTGGGGCAAAAGCAACACTGCTGCCTCAGAAGTCAGTGCCCATTGTGCCGAAACCCAGTGACAAACGGAGACAGTACAGTGGTGTGACTGCTGAGGACGAGCAGCCTCCATTACTAGTGAGAAGGCAAAGCCAGCAGACTCATGAACCCTACTGTCCTCACCCACCCACTGCAGTAAATCCACCAGAGGCCGTGGAGGTGCCTCACACAGCACAGCGCTGGGGTAGCCACTGGTAACAAGGTGGTGGGGCTGGGAACTCCCAGCCTGGAGCCCTGCTGCCTGCCATGCCGCACCATGGGGGTGGTGCCACGACTCAGCAACCTGGACACAGAGGGAATGCTTACCACCTGGGGAGTATAGTGCATTTTCCACAGCCACGGTGACACTGCCCCACCGAGATTCCAGGAGCGCCAGTAATGCAGGTAAGAGAAAACAAAAGGCTTGCGCTTTCACACCATCTACTGGAATATGAAGGGCATCTACTTATTAACCTGTTTATTGTTAAGAGCAAAACAATACCTGAAAAGAGTTCACTACCTCAGATGTGCTAACAGAGAAACAATGTATCAAGTACCGTGAATAACCAAGGCAACAGAGTAGCACATAAAGAAAATAAAAAGTCGGGGAGCATTTGTGATCTGGGTCTCTGATGTGTCATCAATTCGGCGCAAATAAACTTCTATAAAAATTGTGTACAGGCTTGAATGTTTCTTACATTGACAGCTGAAATAGTCTAGCCAACTTGAGTCTACACAGTGAGTATCTCTGATGTGATCTTGAGTCCTCAGCACAACCAAATGTCACACTACCACAGAAGTCCTTTGAAGATTTGGCCCTCATAGGCCCATTGCCAAAGTGAGGGGTACCTGCTGGAACTGTTGCCCAGGCCAAAGTAAAACCAAACACCACAAGGAGTTCATGACTTCAACCAATCAAATGTGGCCAAACTGGAATTCCTTTGTACTTTCTCTTGCCTTCCCATACCTTACCTTAATTGGCCAAGTTTCAAAACCATTCAGATCCTCCTGAATTAGAATTTATGAATGTATATAACAGTTTATTAACCTCACCTTGTAAAACTTGTCTCAAGCCTGAGTTCAAGGAGACAGATTTGAGTTTTGTCTATTTTACCCTTGTCTGGCAGCCTTGCAGTAAATTCTTTTCTCTGCAAAAAAAAAAAGAAAATGAAAAGTCTCCAGAAACCAAACTCAAAGATAGGGAAGGCTGTGATTTAAATGACAAGTGGATTAAAGATTGCAGTTATGAATTATAAGTTATAAGATACAAGAAAACTCAGAAAGGCAGTTCAATGAGCTCAGGAATAAAATCAATGAACAAAAGGTGTACTTTACCAAAGCGATTGCCCAACTACAAGAAAGACTCAAACAGCCCCCATCAGTGTGGCTTCGTTAGTTGGGCATTGTCCTGCAAAGCAAAAGGTCACCAGTCCTTAGTCAGGACATGTATGAGAGGCATCCACTGACATTTCTCAACATCGATGTTTTTCTTGTCTCTCTGTCTCTCCACCCCGCCTTACTCTTCCTTTCTCTCTAAAAAGCAATGAAAAAAATGTCCTTGAGTGAGGATAGAAAAAAATTCTGGAGCTTAAGAACTCAGTTATTGAAATGAACAATGCATAGAGAGCTCTGCAAATGAAGCAGACCAGATGGAAGAGAGAATTAGCAAGCTCAAAGATAGAAACCTAGAAATGGCTCAAGTGGAAGAAGAGAGAGACTTAGACTTAAGAGTTTAGAAAATGAGCTCTACAAGAACTGTCTGGACTCCATTAGAAAGGGAACATACGGGTAATGGGTATACCAGACAAAGAGAAGAAGGGAACAGAGAGCATATGAAAAGCAGTAGCCAATGAGAAATCCCCAAACCTATGGAAAGAGCTAGATCCTTCTAGAATCCAAGAATAGAAATGGAAGCAAAAAGACCTTCTTCAAGACACATTATATTAAAACTTGCAAAAGTTAATGACAGAATTCTCAAGGCAGCTGGGGCAGGTGGGTGGGGAGCAGCTGTAAACCACAATGGAAACCCCATTAGATTATTGTAGTTTTCAGGAGAAACCTTACAAGCCAAGGAAGCATGGAATGAAATATTTAAAGTACTGAAATATAGAAATAACCAGCCAAGAATAATATATTCAGCAAAGTTATCCCTTAGACACAAAGGAGAAATAAAGGCTGTTCCAGATCCCCCCCCCCCAAAAAAAGCTGGAGTAATTTACCCCCACAAGATCTGCATTATAAGAAATGAGAGGAGCTTTTACCTGAAACAAAGACAGAAGCCTACAAAGCTTGAGTAACATGACAGAAACAGGAAATTGCAACTCTGTTTCGGAACCTATTGTTGAATAAACTTGATGAAGGTTAAAGGAGAAGGTTTTTTTTTTTTTTTAAAGACTAAGTTCTGCAATTTGGAAATGAACACATAGCATAGAGGGATAATTTGTGGCAAAACATCAAAAGGGAGGAAGAAAAGGACTTAACTTGCACAGGTAAATGAAAATAAGATGCAATCAAAAGAATAGGGACCATGTGTGAAACATTTTTTAACATAAACCCAATGAATCACAAGGGGGAAAAAAAAACAGTGGAAACACAGGACAACCACAAAAGATAAAATGGCTGTAGTAAGTCCTCATATATCAATAATCACCTTAAATGGAAGTGGACTGAACTTACCGATCAAAAGGTACAGAATGGCACGATGGATTGAAAAAAGACCCAACGACATACTGCCTTCAGAAGATCCATCTCAAAGACAGGCATAGGCAGAGCAATTTTGAGAAAGAAAAAGTCAGAGGTATCGTGCTATGTGATACCGAACTGCTACAAGGATATGGACATACGTACACATTCATCAAAACAGCATGGTGTTGACCAAAAAACAGACCGAACAAAACCGAAAGCCCAGAAATAAACCCACACATATGTAGGCAACTACTTTTCAACAAAGGAGCCAAGATTACACAGGTAGAAAAGAAAATCTCTTCAATTAATGGTGTTGGAAAAACTGGAGAGCCACAGAGAAAAGAATGAAACTAGATTACTATCTTAAATCATACACAAAAGTTAACTCAAAATGAGTTAAAAGAGTTGAATCTAAGACCTAAACCAATAAAATATAGAGAGAAAAAAGCAGACACGGATTTTGGTTTCTGAGGTGTTTTTGTGAACTTGACACCAAAGGTAAGGGATACAAAGGCAAAAATCAAACTAAAAGGCTTCTGCACAGAAAAATCAAAACAAAAAAACCAATGAAATGGAAAAAGATACTTACAAATGATACTTCCGATAAGGGTTTGATATCCAAAATATATAAAGAACTCATACGACTCAACCACAAAATCCGATTCAAAATTGGGCAGATGACCTGTATAAACACTTTTCCAAGTAAGACATACAGATGACCAACAGGCAAATGAAAAGATGTCTGATATCACTAGTTACTAGAGAAATTAAAATCAAAATCACAATACCACTTCACCACTGTTAGAAGGGCTATTATCAAAGTGACAAGAAAGAAATGTTGGATAGAATGTGGAACAAACAGAACCCTCATACACCGTTGGTGGGAATGCCACTATGGAAAACAGAATGGAGATTCCTCTAAAAACAAAAACTGGAACTACTATATGTCACCCCTGAACTATAAAGGCACTTATTTATAAAGATACGTACCCCATGTTCCCTGCAGTATTATTTATAATAGCCAGTACACAAAGACAACCTAATCGTCTCTCAACAGGTGATTGGATAAAAATTGTGGCACTACTCAGCCATGAAAAGCTGAAATATGGCCACTTGATGGATGGATTTGGAGAGAATTATGCTAAATGCAATAAATCAGAAGTAAAAGGACACAAACCATGATTACACTCATTTGGAATAGAATAGAAAACAAAAGGTAACAAAATCAAACTCATTAGATACAACAAAATGTTGTTGCCAGAGAGGAAAGCAGTGGGAAGTGGGTAAAGGGGGTCAAATATATGTTAATGGGAGGAAACTAGACTTTGGGTGGTAAGCACGCAATAGACTTACACAGGTGTTAAATTATAATCTTGTATACCTGAAAATTATATAATGTTATTAACCAGTGTTATCCCAATAAACAATTTTCTTTTAAATTTCACTTTAAAGGAAGATATGCAGGATCTTGGGTACCACCTCAGATCCACTGAGTCAGAATCTTCATTTCAGTAATTCCTATGTACATTAATATTTAAGTATTGATCTGGAACAGCACTGTCCAATGGAAAATGGTGTAACCCACATGTAAATTTTTCTGGCAGGCTCACTGAAGAAGTAAAAAAGGTAAAATTAGGTCCAATGACATCCCTCAAGTGAGCAAAGTGGGAAGAGCCTTTGTGCCCATTTTACAGATGAGAAACAAGAGGGTTAGAGAACAAACTAGAGAGACCCAAAATCACGAAATAGGAAGCTAAAGTCAAAACTGAAGTCCTCTGACTAGGGGCACACTGATGAATTTTATGTGGCCTGGCTGTTCATAAATGGACATCTGGGATGCAGTCATGTGGCCAGGTTCAGCCAATCAGACATGCCTGAGAAAGGGACTCACAGTGGAGCTTGTGTCCATGGGACCTGCACATGTAGTAAACAGAGTGCCAAGGTGTTGGTTCTTTGAGGGGCTTGGCGGTAGCTGAGCTTTGTGTCCAGACCCAACTTCATCAGAACAGTGTTACAAAGCAGTGCCCAGGGTGTGACTGCAGTCTTTTCCTGCTGCTTGGATTTGGAGCCTGCGTTCTGACCCACGAATTTGGGAAAACTTACCATCTTTGAACAAATCCCTTTCTTGCTTTAAGTAGACTAGGTGGGTCTGTTTACAGCTGAGTTCTGGGAGACATAGTGTGTGTCACTCACCAGTCTTGAGTTGCTCTCTCCAAGGTGAAGGGGAAAGAGCAGGGTGAACTGGGCACACTGCAGAGGCCTTTGCTGCAGTGTTGGTCAGGAGCCCAGCCCTTGCGGGCAGTAGCGCCTGCCAAAGCCATAGACTAGATGTAACACAAACAGATGAGTCACTAGGAGCAATCACAGGATGACGATAAGCTCAATCTCCACGGAGCCTACAGTGGCCGATGATGCTCTGACAGACAGGAGGCAGAGTGATGGGGTGGGGCAAGGTCCTGCTGGAAGGACAGCAAGGGAATGCTTCAGGAGTCCAGACAGGGATCATCCCTGGACACTGAGCCGGACAGAACAGTCTACCATGCCAAGGGAGAAAGAGAACCCCTGGGTCCTTCATTCTCTTCTTTTGCCCCACTGTGTCTCAGGTGGTATTTCACTCCCAGGTGCCTGGCTCTGGGCCATGCAGGGGGTCTTGCATACTCCCCACACCCACCCCAATTCCCATCCCCCTCCTCCCCTCCTAATCTCCAGTGGAGGTAGGAAGTTTGGACTCAGGGGAGGTACAGGGTTCTCCTTCCAGGTGGAAATGTGGAATGTGCCCCCCTATTTCCTTATCCCTTCCTCCCTCACTCCCCCAGCACTTTCCACAGCCCAGATGAACTTTTCTGGACATGGGCCTGGGCTTCCACGACCCATCTCACCAGCTGGCCAGCGTCCTTTGTCTCCCCAGAGCCCAAACTACCCCTGTGAATGCTCATTTACATCCTTTTAAATTCCATTTACATCTGTTTCAGTGTCAACTAGATGTCCCAGCACCTGGGCCACCTTATGTCACTCTCCCATTTCCCAGCCACAGGACAGAACCACCTGGGGATCTTGAAAACAATCCATGTCCACAAAGGGACCATATTATGAAGGGTGATAAAGTTCTAGAACTGGATTGTGGTGACTGCTGCACAGTTCAGAAAATTTAAAAATCTATGGTACACTTAACATGGGTGAATTGTACAGTACATAAATTATTCCCTAATAAAGTTTTTTACAAGGTAAAATTTATTTTTATATTTTAACTCGAGATATCCAGAAATATTTGAACATGTAATTGATATGAACAAAGATATGGGCCCTGGGCCACAAAAATATTGGAAAGGGCTCACTCCTCAATCTACCCCTTGTAGTAAACCCTCCTCGAATTCGATCATTTTGGGTGTGCCGGCAGTTTCCTGTCGAGACCCTCTGCAATAAAAAGTCTCTTCAGGGCGCAGAATGGGAGCAAGTCGAGGCACCTGGAGCCAAGACTACTGGTCATGGAAAAGGAAGAGGTCCCACAAGAGGTCCCAGCTTGGTTGCTACGGCAGCCAAGTCACCATCTCTGCTGAGAGAGGCATCCAGGTCTGTGGAAGGAGTGGAAGGAGAGTCAGTTGTGCAGGCCACACAGCCTGTAGCAGAATCATGCTCAGCTTCCTGCATAGACAGTTCTGTGAGGAAGGACCACAGCTCAGTCCCAGAAGGGGGAATCTGGGGAGCCAGGCCTCGCTCCATCCATACCCTCCCACTAGACATCACTCCATTGGGCCAATGGAATAACTTTGTAATGGGCAGGAAGCTGACAGTAAATACAACCTTGCTCTACCTTTTACTGTTGGGCAACTAATTGATTTTGAACTTATTTTTTTAAGAACTGCATTAGTCCCTTTATACTACTTAATAGACATCTGAAAATTCCAGATTGTAAAGCAACTGTTCAATTTTCTGATGGGGGGTGTACAGACAGGAGGGCAATAATTTAAATAGCACAGGTCATTCTGTGTCAGTTAACTGGCCGGTGGGATGTTTTGTTTCCCAAGTCTGTTCCCGCACATGGCTCATACTCAGCAAGAGCACCGCAACCCACCCGACTTCTGCATTTCCCACCACTGTATGTATCATCCTCTACTGGCTGACGGACACAAAGGATTTCCAAGAGTAATTTTAGCTGTATGTCATTATCTCCCAAATTGCTAACTTTAGAACTTACTCCCTGCTGGCAAAACATTTAGAACTACTAATTTTTAACTTTCTGAGAGCCCACCTTAATCCAAAAAATTTGAGACAGACCCAAAATTAAAGAGTGGATGTGGGGCCTTTGAGGGGGGTAGGTTTTGTTTTGCTTTTTAAATAGAAAAACACCACATCTCACAAGGGTTGTTACAGTGTGTGCACCCCACCTCTGCTCCCACTCCCCAGCTACCAACGCTAGTGACTCTCCTGCTCTACAATAACACCACGGTCAAACAAAGGATCTAGAATTGGGGTGCTGCCTAACTGATTTTGCTTAAACCAGTTAGATATAAATAAATACACTGGAAGTCACCCAAGGGTGCATAACCACAGTGGTGTTTACTCTTCCCACGAGGTTGTGCAAATACCAGCTATGGCCGCAGATGTAGGAACGGCATTTATGTTGATGGAAGAGGGTTTGTTCATTTCCCACACAGGTACTTACAGCATCTCAGAGCCTGCAATACCAGCTTGTTTGAACCTGAAGGAACACAGGGACAGAAACTATCTTGAATCCCTAGTGTCCGATGCTTAGCACAGCAGAGGGTGCATTTAAAGGAGCACTGACCCCGACAGACACTAAGAGCTAGGTAACAACTCATTATTGGCACAGTCTGCAGTACATACCAAGACAGTTTTGGTACAGACTGGCTTTATTCTTTGTTTTTGTGGCAGGCTGTGGGATGAAGGAGAGAACGAATAGCCAGCCTGCTGCGAGAAGGCGGAATGAAGGCAATTAAAGCCATGGAAACCACCTGGGAATGCCCATGTAATAACTGTCCGAGGCCAGTCCAAAGGAGGCCCTGACAAGTCCAAGTTAGAAGGGGTGATGGGACAGAGTCCAGGAAGGGAACTCCTAGATCATGCGTAACCCTCGCCTTCTGCAGTTAGGAAGCCCAAAGCAGCCAGCCACCGGGGGAGCCACTGGGAAGAACAGAACACAGATCATACCAAATCCACACCTGACAGTTGCTGCCGTGGAGCATCCCTAACTAAGATGTTCCCATGGGACCAGCTGTGGCCAAAGGAAAAGATCTTCCTAGATCCCTTCACTCTGCTTTAGGTTTCTCAGACTAGATGGAAAATTAGGGATAGCCCAGAGCAGTAAGAACCTAATACCCCTTATGTTAAGACAGTCACGAGAGGAATATAAATGTTTTATGGGCCATGTGCTGTACACGTGGCACTGGGGACAGCATGACCACGCTGCTCTCTGAGCCCAGATACAAAAAGGGGGGTGAAGTAGCAGATACTGGGTGAAGCCAGCCAGACAAGGTGGGCAGGATGAGGTGAGGGTCCCAAAGAAAGAAGAGACCTCCTTAGCAGAGCTATTGGGGGCTAAGGCAGGGTATGAGGTCAATTTTGAATGATCTTTTGACATGGCTATTTTAAAGCCCAAGTTATTTTGACAAGGTCAGAAATTTTTTAAAAATCTTAGCCCTTTGTACAATTCATCTCTTCCTTGCACAGCTCAACTGCTGGGCAAGGGACAAAGCCAAACTGCCCCAGAGATGGGAAAGATGCCCTCTGATTCAGATTTCTGTTTTTGGTTTTTCTTTCAAATAGTGAAGTGAGGGATGGAAGATAAAAAGTAGGCCAGGTGCATCAGAACTTCTGAGCAAAAGCCAAGTGGAAGATTCCTTAATTTGGGCAGGGGAGGGGGAAGCAGCTCCGATCCTGATGCCCACACTGTTTCAGCTTTGTAAGTCTAAGGTCTGCAGAAACGCAGGAAGGCAGCTAGTGTAGGGCTGTTGCAGGAAATAAAAGTGGGCTGGTTTCCCCAGCTTGGCACTAGGGGGCTCTGCAGCACAGCGTCTTTCTCCTAAAGGGAGAAATGAAAACCAGGGAGGGGCTACCCTCTGATGCCACCTGCTAAATTTTTGGTCACACACACAACACTGGAAACTGGGTCCTGCCACACCATTCAAAAGAGAGAACTACAAGCCAAGATAAGGTTAGGCCATTCTTACCGTGTCCTCTGCTCCTGGTAAGTTCACCCTTCACAGTCACAGCTTTGTGTCCCACTGAAAACTAGCCCTGGAAAGGCTGAGCTGGGAAAACCAACCAAGGGTGTTTATCCTGTGTGTCCGCCCTGGGCAAATACAGACCAAGAGCCAATAATAATGATAACTAACATTTACTGGGCACTTATCACACACCAAGCTGTACTCTAAATCCTACCTCCTTTAATCCTAAATTAGGAAGCATAACAAACCTATTAGAGGAGGGTACGTTGATACTGCCATTGTGGAGCAAACTGCAAGGGAGGACAAGCACTGGAAACTTCAGGCCGGGGACTCCATGGTTGAAAAAAGCATTTCCACCATTCATAGTTACATAAGTAAGTTACATACTTCATACATTACATACATGTCTATCACTGTTTCACACCTGAAACTAATGTAAAATTGTATATTAACTGTAATTACATTTTTTAATTAAAAAGAAAAAGTGTTTCCAACATACCTCAGCTAGGGTGAGTCACGAGGAAGAACACTGATAACATTACTAAAATCCAGTGGGAAAATAAAACAGCATAAAAACAGGCACATTTGCAAAGCTGTAACCCTGATAAACCACTGGCCATAGATGTTTCAGGGAGCTTATCAGCCCCAAATCCCCTCATCTGTGCTGGAGCCAGGCTGGCTCAGCAGGGGTTCAACTAGGTCAGACTTGGTTTCCTGATTCTTAAGAGCTTGTCAGATAGCCTGGCCCCAAGCAAACACAAAATGGCCCTTCTTCCAGCCAAGAAGGGTTCTGTTTTGTTTAGCTTTGTACTCTTGACCCTGACCTATCCCTTAAGTACCCTGGGTTCTGGGATGTGTAAGATTCTTCTAGTTCTTGCTGCTGGTGGCCAAAGTCAGACTGTGGGACCAGAGCTCCTTCCTGGTGTGTAGACAGCAGCACTAGCTTCTCACGGGGAAGGGACAGGATGCCACAAGGGCCTCTGGAGTGGCCGAAGACCAAAGCAAGCTGGTCCCAGCCTCTCCTCAGTCCTGAGTCACAATCAATTGGCCTGCAGGCTCCAGTCTGTCAGAGGTATCATTATCATGTGTCTGACAAGGGTGGAACTGTTCAGCATCAAGAAACACTTTTCAGTTTTAGGGCCCTCTTCCCAGGGATGAGCAGATACTGCCTATGGATAAGGGGAGAGGAAACCAAAGTGGATTCCAATTTGGAAGCTGCTCTGTGGCCACACACTGCCTCAGCCACAGGTGACCCCAGCTCCACGTGGCTCCAGTGCTACCCCACTCTGCATGCCAGGCCTAGCCAAAGCCTACTCGACCTTCACATCTTTCTGTTTTGGTACCATCACAGCACCACCCTCATTCGTCATTCCTGATCAGCCCCTCCTGGTCATTTACCATTGTTTTTCCACAGCCCAGAGCTCACACAGGTTGCAGCGTTTTTTGGTGGGTACTGAATTTCAAGCCACCTACTTTTAGATCCTCCACAGCATCTTTCTGGGGTCCAGTATCTCCAAGCCCCACCAAGCAGTACATGACCACAGGCCTGTATACATCCTTAATGACTTCTGAACAATTAATTATGCCCAGGCAAGCTGTAAGAATCTCCCAGATAATGCTTCATCCAACAGGAAATACGGGCAGACAACAAACTCCAAGTGTTAAAGGGCTGTGCAAATGCAAGCTTGTTAAGATGGTCTCTTTTCAGTAGCAGAAAAAATATTCTCTGCCCTTCTCCATAACAACTCAAAAACAGTTTTTAATTCTTACACCTCAATTTACAATATCCTTCATTACTTCAATAAAGGAGGAAAAAAATCTTCAACTCATGTCCCATTTAAGATGCATATTTTTATTGAAATTTAAAAAAAAAAATTGTAACCAGACAGAATAAAGTAGACAGAATGTTATAATCTGACTATATAATCTCTCATTCTTGTTGAATCACTAAAATATAACAAAGAATTGCTCTCTATGCTAATTTTAAGGTTGTCCAGTTAAACCATTATTTGGTATCTTTTGAACAGGTTAACCTCTTTACTATTTAGAGTTTCTTCTCAGAAACATTCATATATTATACAGGAAACATTCATAGTTTATTTGGGAAACATTCATATTTTATACAGGATATACAAATTTGAGACAATAAAAAAACACACACACAATTATAGCCGCAACACTACCCTAGCTGCATTGTGGTGATTATGGTGTTCAGTCAGCTGTCCACTGTATACAACCGGATTTTTAAGTGTTATTTACAGAGGGGCCAAAAGCACTCATCTCAGGTAAAGGCGCTCAGGTTTAATGTGCACTTTCACAGCCCTATGAAAACGCAACCATTATATACACTGTAAACACCACAGGGCATGAAATCCACCTCCAACCACAAACATCAATCTCACAGCATCAAGCATACAAGATCTAAGGTAAGGTGCCTGACTTTTCCTTCGTAAGCATTCTTTTCATCCACGACTGCTGCTGTTCTTTTCATAGGACATTACTCACTTACTTCAAATATGCTGCCAGTGCTCACAACATTTCTGGAACCCCTTCTGGGGTATTGCCTGCACAGTCTGCAGTGAACTTTTCTCAACATCCTTGATGGTGGAAAGTCTGCATCCTCTAAAGATGGATTTGATTTGGGAAAACAGGCATAATTATTCACAGCCAAAACCAAACTGTGGGCTTCCACCTTGGGTCAAATGTGAGTGCCACTGTAGAACAATGAGGCCGGTTTTCTTGTACAGCTTGTACATTAAAAAGTGCCCGAGCAATGGCAGTCCTATAGGAGTAAGTACAGACTCTCCTAGAGTGAGGACTCGGAGAAGCAACACTTGAACGGTATGTCTAGGTGGTGTTCTGCAGTTTTAAAAAGCAGTCATTTTGTCACCTGTCACACAGACTTCAGTATTCCTCTTCAGTTTCAGTCCCTTTTGCTTTCTTATGGATTGCCCGATTAAAGCTGTGGCACGCAGGGACCCAGTGATTGTCGTGAAGACCCAGCTTACAGCCAGGGAAACCCTTCTGAGAGCGGTGGCAGCACATCCAGTATCCTGGCCCGTAGGGCAATGCCTGGCAATAGGGCTTGGGGTGCCACCGGCACAGGGACACGTCCCCTTTCACATATTTCTTCTTGCACTGCTTACAAGGATCCTCTCTGTAGCGTGGGTCTCGAACCCAGCGAGAATCTGCTGGCCTGATGTTGTAGTATTCAATGATAAACTTGAAATAGCAGCAGGTACACTTAAGAGCCACTAAACTCTTGGTGGGGAGTAACCTGAAGATTTTCACCATAATGTGGTGGGGCAGGAAAGCCATGTATTGCTGAGGCTCCAAAAGCTGCTGGATTTTAAACCTTGTCTCCAGAAAGTCATGAGACACCTGCTTCTTCCAGCTGGACACCTCAAGTACCGGCACTGTACTTTCCATGGGGGAGGCTGGCGTTGGCCCAAACGAATCAGCTGAAACACTTTTTCCCTCAGACGCTCCACCACCCTCAGCAGCATCTGCAAGCTGGCTGGCCTCTGAAGACTCTTCTGTTGTGCTTTCATTCAACTGGGAACAGTCTGACTTTTGTTGACCTCGGGGCAAAAAAAACAACCTCCCTGGAAGTGGGTCTTCACAGGACTTTAAATTAGAAGGTTGGTCCTCCTCCACCTTGGACACAGTGATGCTAATGCACACGGACTCTTTTCTTCTCTGATCAGGGTTTTGTGGTGCGAGCTCTCTACTCATGCAATTAATAGCATCTGTGGGCAACTCAATGGCTTGGGGACAGGTTTGAGGAGGAAAAGGTGACTCAATTTCCTCTGTCATTTCTACATCATATCGACTGCTGTTTTTCACAGCAGTGTGCTGATCTGGCTCTAATTCTGCTCTATCCACGTGGAAACCCACACCTGCTGGCAATGATGGACAGCCCCGAGGAGCCCCATCCCAGGCCTGCTTCCCCTTAAAAGAACAATGGTCAGCTCTAGATGGGCCACAGTCCACAGATACAGACCCCACAGGATTCACCTGAGTGCCAGGTGTCTCCAAAGCGCCTTTGTTTGCTTTGTCTTCATCAGCCTGAGTGCCATTCGCAAGCAACACCCGGCCTACATTTCGACGGAAGCTGTTGTTCCTCGAGAGGCTCCCAGGCTCACGCTGGCTCTGCCGCTTCAGGCACTCAGACTCCAGCCTGGCTACCATGTCGAGGACACGGACTGGCTCACTCTGGGGTTCACCACCCTCAGGATTTCCCCTTTCCGTGGGTTCTTCACAAGCTCCTGGGGCAGACAAGGGCTCAGAGGCTGGTGGCACACCTCTGGAGTGCTCAGAAATCCTCACCATGGCGGGTGAATTACTGCAGTTTTTCGCACAACCGGCTAGCAGAGCAGCGCTGGCTCTTTGCTCCAGGAAAGCAACCATCTGTATGACCGACAGGGGCCTCCCAGCACAGACACCATCCCCGCTGTCACTCACATAATGCACGGAACAGTGTTCAATGCCACATGCGAAAGGCTCAGGCTCAAAGCACCTGCTGCTGCCTTCCCTCATCCTTTCTAATTGTGTCTTGGCTTCTTTAAGGTCTCCTGATTTTTTCCTTCTTTTAGTAGCTCTCCCATCAATATCCCAGGAGCTTTTTATTTTCATAGATCCTACCCTATTGCTACACTGGTGGGCTGCAAAGAATGCAATTTTCTCCTTGGTATTTCCTGGTTTCACCACAGCCCAGATATCAAGTGGCCCTTCCCCTTCTTCGCCCTGGTGGATTGTTGCAAGTGGTGCATTCTGCTTGGTTTTAACATTCAAGCTGCTCTCTACAGGACTCTTCCCACTCATACTGCACAGAACATTTGGAGAAAGAATCCCAAAAGGCTTTCGAGATGATGCTTTACCAGGAGAGGTGGAAGGAAAGACACCTGATTTCATGGAGAGAGCTTTGCATTTTTCATCATGTATAGGCTCTTGGTGGCTCATGGGAGTTCTCAGAGTTTCCTTGCTAATTTCCAGAGGTTGTGCTTTCTTCTGCAGATTCCAATATGGTTTTAGGTGCATAACAGAGGCTCTACAGGAAAGAAATACA